ATTATACACGGACATTGGTCAGCATTGATGCAATTGTGCAGTGAAGGGAATTCTTGGAATGGTTTAATTTCAAGTGAGTATACTCTTTATGGTAGAGTATGAATGATTGTTGGTGTAGGCAATGAAGATAAAAAGGAAGATGTGTTTATTTTAATCATGGTAGAGATTGTTGGGTTGATGAAAATAATACATCTTGAAAAGTCTCACATCACATTGGATAAGTAATAGAGTGGGTGATAGTAACTATATAATAGACTTAAAGTTTATGGTGTTGCTCACCTCAGTCAAAGACACTTTAAGCATGTATTTGACTTTTCTTATGCTCTATTGTAGTAGAGTGTTAAGAGGTTTAGTTTAAACTATTGCTTTGGAGAGTGTGGGTGTATTTGGGGTCAAAGGGCATGAAAAAGTTATCTATGTATTATAAAAATTTTCATATAGTGTTATTCTCTGGTTACCATTAGATAAAAGTTGTGGTTTTTTTCCGATTTTGAAGTTTTCACGTTATATTTTTATGTTGATTATTTTTCTCTTATTTCTCTAGTAGAGTAATTCTCAAAGATAAAGATGATGATATTCTTGATGACGTTTTTTTCCATCACTAGTGATACGCACAAAATTATCTACCTTCATATTTATTAATTATAATAACAACTAATCAACCTTTCAATGATCTTAAAATATCTTATAATAATAAACTTTAATTAACTAATAAATAAATTATACATAATTTTAACTTTCATACTATGAGTAATTGAAATAAAACAATTAATAATTTGACATCAAATAACTTTAAAATTTTGGTCACTGAACTAACAAAATTTATTATGTTTAATTTCAGATAAATAACATATTTAATTGTTATTAACCAGTATTTTTCATTAATTTTAATAAATATGTACACATATACCATATCTATAACAAATAATTATTATATTAATTTTATAATGATTAAAAAATTAAAAAAATTGAATCATGCATGGCCAAAGCAATTCATGCAGCAAATTGTATAGATGATTTGTCTTTTTCAATTCAATAAAACCCACACATGATTTGTTTTTTCCAAAGAAAAATAAAAATAATTGCAAAGGCCATAACCAATAACATGAATCACCTTTCCAATTGCACATTACAGGGTCACATTCGTTTTACATGGCTATAAAAATTGGTTTCAATTAAAACCAATTGCACATGAGTTATTCCATAAGTATTGCAAATGATTTGTATGCAGTTTATAGCCACTGTGCGTGATTCACTTTTCCAAATAAAATCAATTTTGCAGTAGAAGGACTAAACCCAATTTTATAGTCAATTCAATTCAAAATTGATTGTAGCGAGAAAATATAAATTAGAGTTTATTCCTTTATTTAATTTTGAAAAACAAATTTGGGGATAGATTATGATTCATGCTTATCTGATAGAGAAATCTTAAATTTTTAATTAGGGTTTATCTTAATTTAAAAAAAACTATCATAAAAGGATAATCATAAATATAATAACAATGGTTATCACATATAAATTATTTTGTAATTTTTCTACATTCTTAATTTATTCCAAAAAATTACTCTATATGATTTTTATATTCATAATTCTCACACAATAACATATATAAATCATAATAAGGAAATTAATTTTGATCGATGAGAGGTACCCAATGAAAATGTATTTTTCAATGTTTTTTATTCTCCAACTCTTTTTCTCAATCTATCTCTTTATCTTTTTTTCTCCTATCAAATTTTTTTGTATGGTTTACCTTGAAAATAACCTTATGATCAGAGTCCTTTTTATTAACTAACGTCTATCAAATTGGTTATCGTAAATTTTTATTTTATTTTATTATGACTTTTCATGATACCAATATATTTTTATATTTTATTAAATTACATTTGGATCCATCATTATATTTTATATGAATCACATAATTTAATTACTTAATTTTAACACAAATAAGTGTAATTAAGGATAATGACAAATTATATTAAGACATATTAAAAAAACGTCATGGATAAGAAAAAAGTTATTCAATAAAATTCTTTTCAATTTGAATCACCAGTTTTTGTTGATTTTCTTTGTCAATTTTTCTTTGATCCTTAATAAGTTATTCTTCTCCACATTTATATTTCTTGTCATTTACATTTTTCATATTTTAATATTTGAACTAATATTAAAAATAAAAAACTATAATCAATATTTTTTAATAAAAACACCAACATAAAATAATATAATTTTATCTTTAATTTAAAATCTTAAAATATTAAATATGTATCTCTCGTGTTATCCAACTTTCTTCTCTGTAACCTTTAATTTATTCCTAAATTCTTACACGTCTAACACATAATAAGATGAATAATGTCAACTGAATGTAGTCGAGTATACCGAGGTTAACGTATCGTCATTTGAATATTATTTTTCTAATTGATGAGACGATAATTTTGATATTAGATTTTTTTTTCTAAAATCAAATGGGAAACATTCTGCCAACCTTTTTGGACTATTTTGACTAAAGTGGGTTGGAAAATTTTTAATTGAAATCGGTGAAAAATTCGATAAAAAAAGAGAAACTCTTACCAGCAACGTTAAAAATAACAATTTGATGAATATTATTCAAAATAACTATCATTCACATCAATTGAAAATAGCATAAACGGATAACAATCCAATAAACCCCTATCACGATAAAGTCTTACCACACCAACAAACATGGACGGAAAATCATCACTTACTTATATATTTAAATTATTCATACTATTTAATATTGAAATAAATTTAATATTTCGTGATAATTAAAATATTGTATATTATAAATAAAAATAATAATAAAAGTGAATAGTTCAAACAAAATATTTAAAAATAAAATTATTTAAAAAGAAATTCAGATATAATATATTTAAATTTTCTAAAATTATGAAATTTGATATCCAAAGCGCGTTGCTATGCTATGAATAGAAGCTATTCTCTCGAATTAATTTATAACACGATAAAGTCTAAAAAGTGCATCCTCTATCTACCTATTAAAGTTCCTTTTCGCAACTTCTTAATTTCTTGACCAGTTTTCTAACTTTTTCAATAATTTGATTTGATTTATTTCAGTTTTCTAAAAGAAAAATAATTACTAGTGTTGAATAAAAATAACTCCTTTTTAAAATTAACTTTTAGAATCATAATAAACGTTACACAGCCTTCACCACATGTTCTCTTGCTCAAAATAATACACATTAAATATTTACGCCGTATTTTTAGTTAGCCTCATTGTATCATACTCAACCGTACCTACCTAACAGATTAGGGACCAAATGAATAATAATTGCTTAAAGACTAAGACTACGTATACTTTAGGGTTACCCTATTACTATTACCATTACCTATAACATATGGGTATTTTCTATATCGGACATAATTATGATAATTATAAAATTAATGTAGAAAATTTAGAATAATCGTGATAGAATTCTATTCAATCATGGGGGATTAAATCATGTTGTAGGCATAATAAAAAATATTGCTTTATATTAATGGTTTAATAATTTATGTAAAAGGTAAGATATAGTATTTTGAGTTACATTACATTGATATTTTTATATTAAGAATAACTTTTTCAAAATCTTCATATAGTTTAAATTAAAAAAAAAAAAAAAGAATCACGTAATGAGGGAACTTTCATGTATTAATATTATTAGAATTGTGAGACATGAAAACTCATTTTTACAACACACGTCTCTTATTCAAATTTTAAAACTTTCAAATATGCTTCTACTTTGGTACTTCCAATTTCAAAACTTTCATATCGTAACTCAATCATAATATTAAGGTTTTAAAGAGAAAGAATACTAAGTTCCAAAATTTAGTAGATATGTTACGATCAACATTGTGCAACGTATCAATATATATTTTGGAAGATAGCACTCCACCAAGTTTTTCTTTATGAGTGATTGTTCTGTATTCCATTTTCAACTTTGGGAAAAAAATTTAGAAATATTTTAATAGTGAAAAATGTATTTTTCATTTTATCTTATCATTAAATATGGTATAATAAAGTTAACAATTATTTTTAACGTGGTATTGTATGTTTTCATGGAAGTTGTCGATGACACGTGTTAATGCAGTCAACGAAACGAAAAATAATTTTTTTTGTTTTTCAAAATTTAAAACATCACATTATATCATTATCAATTTAACATTCAACTTACTCATTTATTATCATCTAGAAGTATTTTAAAAATTTATTTAAGTCTTACACTACATTTAAACAATGAAATAATATATATATATATATATATATATATATATATATATATATATATATATATATTTCTTATAATTTTTTATTATTTTTTATGGTTCATGTTAAAATTAAAATTAGTTTGTTACAGTAACCATTTGCCTATTTTTATCATTTTGCTCGTCTTATAAATATATATATATATATATATATATATATATATATATATATATATATATATATATTTTTCTATTGAAGATATATAAGAAAAGTCTATTTTAAATGTTTGAGTGTTCTTTTCTCTTTTCCTTTTTTTATGTTTTTTAATTTTGATGCTCAATTTTCTATTTAAGCATTCTTTTTTTATTTCTAGTCTTCTTGATATCACACATACTCGATAACTTTATTAGTTTTTTTTTCATATTCGATATCTCATCGATACATGCTTAATAATTTTTTTCTCACACTCAATATAATATCGACATGTAAGATTGATGTTCGATACTCATTCCGTTCTTCGATAATCGATGCACGTCCAATAGTTTGCTTCATGTTCGATAATCACTCACTTTTTTTATATGGTATCAGATCTTTTCATGAAGAGTTCTGCCTCTTATAAACACAGATTCCTCATCTTCTACAAACAACTTTTTGTATATTCATCCAAATGAAAATTTCACAATAAGTTTGGTCTATCCGGTTCTTGATACATGTAATTATCATTCTTGGAGAAGATTTATGCTCAATGCATTAAGCACAAAGTACAAAATCGAATTTGTAAATGGTTCAACACCAAAACCTACAAAAGATTACTCATCCTACACAGCTTGGTGACGTGGTAATAATAAGATGGATAGTGCATTTTGTTTCCTTGACTATACGTCTAAGTATATTATAGATGGATAAAGCTGAAAAAATATGGAATGATCTAAGATTTCGATATTTTTAAGGTAATCTTTTTCCCATTTCTAATCTTCAGTTAGAAGCATCTTCCATTATGCAAGGTGTTCTTTCCATTATCGAGTTCTTCACAAAACTCATAATCATCTGGGATGAACTTGGAAATTTTAGACTTGATTCTACCTATACGTGTTTAGCAAAGTGTTCTAGTACTATTCTTCCTATCATACAACAATGTAAAGGAGAAGATCAAGTCATGCAGTTCTTAAGAGATTAATGAACAGTTTAATAATATCAAGTCTCATGTTCTTCTCATGGATCCAATACCTTCTTTAGCGAAAATATTCTCATATGTAGTTCAGTAGGAAAGACAATATCGAACAATTCAACTTCTTGCAAATTTTGTGGACAAACTGGTTACATAAAAAATGTATATTATAAAAAACATGGATCTCCCAACAATCAAAATAAAAATAATCGAAACAAGAAATTTTGTACCCATTGTGGGAAAAGTGATCACACTATTGATATTTGCTACAAGAAACATAGATACCCACTTGGTCATAAATTGTACAATGGGAAAAGTATTAACAATATTGTATCAGAGACTCAAGACGTCAAATTAAATCAACAACAATATCAAGTTCTTATGATGCTCTTAGAACAATCTAATACTAAAGGTGAGTTTAAATCTATACAGGTCAATAACACAAGCATTGTGAACTTACTTGTCTCATAGGGTAAGAATAAAGGTAATTTTCACTCTGTCATCAATTTTTACAATAATCAAGAACATAACATGAATCATTGGATTATTGATTTTGGAGCTATTGATCATGATCTTTTTTCTTATCATAATTTATTTTTATAAACCAATCAAATCCTTAATTATAAATCTTCCTAATGGTAGTCATGTTTATACTACGCATAAAGGGACTGTAAAAATCATTGATAAAAAATTTCTTACAAACTTATTATTTATACCAACATTTTCTTCTAACATAATTTTTGTATCAAAACTTATGATTTATCACAATTATAAACTGCTTTTTTATCATAATTCATGTATTATATAGGATGTTAGGAGTAACAAGAAGATTGGTATAGTTAAAGTTAAAAGATGGTTTGTATACCCTTAAAGAATAATCATATTATGTGAATACAAGTGTTAATTTTAGTAACAATGTTTGTAACATTGACCTAATCCAACATGCTAGATTAGGTCGATGAAAGAATGGATGTAATGAAGAAATATTATCCTTACATATACAATAGTAATAAGAAATTTAGTCTGTGAAACCTATCATATTACTAAATAGAAAAAAATTTATTTTCCCAACAATCATTCTTATGCTAACGAATGTTTTGATCTTATTCACATTGATCTATGAGGACCTTGTTCTTATATTTCCATGTATGGGCATAAATATTTTCTCACCATTGTTGATGATCAAACATGATTCACATGAATTTTTCTTATGAAACTTAAATCTAATGCACGCAATTATATTACAAATTCCATTACATATACTCAAAATCAATTTCAAAAAACCATCAAGTGCATTAGGTCTATAATGAATTTGAGTTTAACATGAAGGAATATTACAATCTCAAAGGAATACATCAAACTACCTGCATTGAAACTCCTGAACAAAATGGAATAGCTAAAAGGAAACATCAACACATCCTCAATGTCACTCGAGCTTTTTTATCGACTCAACAATTTTAGTGTTCTATTGTCATACATGTTGTTCATTTGATCAATTGCATCCTACACCTTATCTTAGTAATATTTCACCTTTTGAAAAAATTATACGTAAAATCATATGATGTCTAGATCTCAGGGTATTTTGATGTCTATGTTAAGTTAGTATTATTGTTGCTAATAGAAAGAAACTTGATCTGAGAGCTTACACCTTGGTATATTTCTAGGTTTTAAGAATAATCCAAAGGGATACTTAATTTTCAATTTAAAAATACAAGATATAACTGATTCAAGAAATGTAATATCTTATGAAAAATACTTTTCATATCTTGAAAGTTCTAAAGAGAACCATAGTATACCTCTCTGGGCTAGCTTGGATACAACTGTTGACATGCAAAAAATCGAAGATAGTGGAATTCCACATGATCCTGCCTCGACTCCATCAATTGATACTACACAAGACTATGCCTTAACTCAATCGATCAATGCTACACAAGACCCTGCCTTGACTCAATTGATCGATGTTACACAAGATCCTACCTCGATTCAATCAACCACTGATACACAAGACACCAATGCTTCATCTGATCCTATCTTAAGAAGAATCACTCGTGTCAAAAATCCCCCAGCTCATCTAAGAGATTATGATGTAGCTCAAAGTTTTACAACATTAAAAGGCTAGGAATATCCTATCGAAAATTTATTACTTATGATAAATTGTCATATACTTTTAAACAAACCATTTCTAACATTGACACAGTTAAAGAGCCAAAAAATTATGAAGAAACTTGCAACTATGGGCAAAAGAAATAGTGCCCTTGAAAATAACAACACATGGGCACTCACTTCACTTCCTCAAAATAAATTGTTATTAGGTGTAAATGGGTATATAAAATCAACAATAAAATGATGGAACTACATATAGATATAAGATCAGACTTGTTGCTAAAGGGTATTCTCAACTTGAAGGTCTCAATACTTTCTCTCTTGTTGCTAAGCTCACCATTGTCAGAACCCTTTCATGTGTGGCAATCATAAAAGGTTATAAATTTCAACAATGCTTTCTTGCATGAAGATATATATATATATATATATATATATATATATATATATATATATATGAGCATTCCTCCCCGTACGATAGGTATTGTCAAAAATCAGGTATGTAAGTTACATAATCACTATATGGTTGATGTGAAGCTAGTAGATAATGGTATGAAAAACTTTACGACTTTGTCTTGTCACACAACTGTGTTCATTCTTCGGCAAACCATTCCTTATTTTTAAATTGTAATGGTACCAACAAAATCATAATCTTGATTTTTGTTAATGATATCATCTTAAATGGCAAAGATATTACAGAAATAAATAAAAGTATTGATTTGCTTAATAAGACCTTCAAGATTAAGAATCTTGGAAATTTAACATATTTCCTCAAACTAGAAGTCACAAGAAACAAAACTGTGATTCACTAAGTCAACATAAATATATTTTCGATCTTCTAAAAAACATTAGTATGTTAGACTATACCCCTGTCAAAATATCGATAAATCATTCTACAAAAATTACATCTATAAAAGGAATACCTCTAGATGATTTCTCATCTTATCAAAGAATTATAGGGAAATTCATTTATATATCTAACATAAGACTTGACATTACACAAGGTGTTCACTGCCTTAGTCAACATGTTTATGCTACTACTACTATTCATCATCAAGCTGCTCTAAGCATTCTTTGATACCTCAAACACTCTCTCAGAATAGGTATATTCCTTTATGCAAATAGTGATATTCAACTCAAAGCATACACTTACTCCAATGGGGCTTGTTGTCCTCACACTTAAAAATATACCACTGGATACATAACATATCTTAACAATTCACTCATATTATGAAAATCGCAGAAACAACAAATTGTCTCGAGAAGATCTACCAAAACTGAATATCGCACTTTGTTTTAATTGTTGTGAATTACAATGATTCAGTTATCTTCTTAATGATCTAAGAATAAATTATATTCATCTGGCATTATTATACTATGACAATAGACATGCAATTTAAATTGCCTCCAACCAAGTTTTTCATGAAAGAACAAAGCACATAGAGATAAATTGTTATATTTGAAAGCAATGAGGGGGAGATTGATGGAAATGTCCCTACATTTCCAAGAGATGATTTTGATGATGATTCAAGTCAACTACATTCAAGTCAACATCATTCAAGATGAATTAATGAAAAACTGAATTTAAGACGTTGGTGAAAATGTGAAACATTTCCCTACATGCCCAAGATATATTTTTGATAAAGATGATGATTCAAGCAAGCCCAAGATGATTCCTGAAGACTAGATAGGGTCTTAGAATACTGGATATGGAGGTACAAGTTGATGAAGTAATATTATGCATAAGCCTCCAAAACACAAGTGTGATAAAACTCATAACGTGATATTTTTCACTGTCATAATCAATTATGATGCATCAGAAATGGAAAAATGATTTTCTCTGTCATAATTGATTATACTGGTAACATAATCAATTATGACAATTCAAATTTGAAAATATATCTATTTTGAAGAATAAATATTTTTGAATATATCCTGATTTTTATTCACAAAAATATTAATATCCAACGGCCAGTTTATGATGTTATTTTTCTATTTAATTAAGTTTTGATGAAAAATTAAAAATACACAATTATAGAATTCGAAAATACAATTTACATTCAATCAGTTTTGTGAAAAGAATTCTGAGCAAGGCAACAAAGATATTTTACACCTTTTGAGAAAACCCTCTTCTCTATTACCTTCTGTGCTTTCATTGTTAATCACACTTGTTCTTGGAGATTGACATTCTACAGGCTTCTACAATTTGTTGTCTCCATTACCCAGATGTGATTGTTCTTATTTTTATTACCTTCATCCTTTTTGTATTGGTGGAAAAGGAGGTGTTTTTCATCCCTAATGTGATTCTAGGGAGGTGTTCATCCTTAGTGAGATTCTAAGGAGGTGTTTTCATCCTTTGATTTGTTCAAAGGAGGTTTTCATCCCTAGTGTGATTCTAGGGAGGTGTTCATCCTTAGTGGGATTCTAAGGAGGTATTTTTCATCCTTTGATTTGTTCAGAGGAGGTGTTCATCCCTAGTAGGATTCTAGGGAGGTGTCCATCCTTAGTGGGTTTCTAAGGAGGTAATTGTCTTTTTAAATAGTTTATTGTTTACTAGTTCTTCTGCTGAGTTGATTGTAATTTGTAAACTGAATTTGAAAGATAGTGAATTGGGAGTCACTCTTGTGTTAAGAGTTGACTAGGAACTGGATGTAGGGTTGGCTATACCCGAACCAGTATAAATCTCTGTGTGTTCTTCTCTTTCCCTTATCTTTTTCTCTTTTCTTGATTATATTATCACTTCCGCTTTATCTGTGTTCAAACAAATTATTGACTCACAAATAAATTTTTAATTTGACATCTATTTTAATTTGTGCATCTATTCACCTCCTCTAGATGTCATTTGTCTAACAATATTGTTAGAGAAGAAGTTGATAGTAGATTGATAAAAATCTACTTTAAGATTTCTTAGTGTTGTTTTTTCTCTCTTTTCCCTCTTTTATGTTCTTCAATTTTGATACTTGATTTTCTATCGAAGCATATTGTTTGATTTCTTGTCCTCTTTCATACTTGATATTATATCGGCACACACTCGATAGCTTTACTACGTCTCTTTCCATACTCAATATCACATTGATACAAGCTTGAGAACTTTTCTCTCATTGACGTGCAAGATTGAGGTCATGGGCTCGATACTCATTCAATTCTTTGATAATCGATGCACGCTCAACAATTTGTTTCATGTTTGACACACCATCAACCAACAAGCTCAATGTAAAATGCTCCATAATCACTCACTTTTCTCGTAGTTCATCTTAACTTTTGTACTATACAATTTTTTATACCAAATTCATCATTTAAAATTTAAATAACCATACATAAGAATTTAAAAAATAGGTTTTAAAAATCATATACACATTAAAAAATATAAGATAATAATTTGATTTGGATAAAATAGGATAGTTTGAAATTTTATAAAATATTTTCGATTTAATTAATATTTATTACTATATGGACTCGTAAATTAGTTTAATAGTTATAAGTAGGGATGAAAAAAAAATTGCATATCCACGAACAAAATTAATGGATATTAAATAGATATGTGTTAGATAATGAGTATGGATATTTTAATTATCTCTTTGTTAGTACGCGAATATAGGTATTATAGTATTCAACTTTACCCATTAATAATTTTTATTTAATATTTTTAAAATAAATTATTAACAAAAATATTAATTAATTTTATTTATATTAATATTTTATTATTTAATTTTATTTAAATTATTTTATAATAAAAAATTATTAAAATATATATTTTAAAAAATAAGCTTTAAATAATTTTATCTAAAATTTAAAAAAAAATCCACAGTATCCATGGATGTATCATACATATATGTGTGAGTATTACAAAATCCACGATTTTTTTCAAACAAATAGTAGACAAATAGCGAATAAATATTTTCTGCGTGGCACTGTCCCAATGTCATCCCTAATTATACTAGATACACAATATTTAAATTTAATATATGTTATAAGATTTTAAATTTTAATTGTAGTACAACAAAATATAGTCATTTTATAACCACCACAAAATTAATAATAATAACAAATAATATTTTTATTTTTATTTTTAAAATAAAATAAAATAAAAAATTAATGACAATATAAAAGAGTAACTAAAAGAATTGAATGTAGGACCAGGATGGCAAAACGGTCAATCCGTCCCGTTTTGGCCCGTCCTGTCTTTGACCCACCAAAAGCGGGGCTAGACGGACTAGTCCACTATAGTCATGGTGGACTATAGTGTTAGGATCGAGCGCTTACCACTAGGCCAAAAGCTATAGTCATTAGTCAGAGCGCAACTCTTTTTACTTTAACAGCCCAAGCACCACGATTCAATTGTGACTCGGCCCACCTGACCTTCGTCACGGGACAATTGATGCTACCCGCAACAATCTCCCCTCAAGCAATTGTCCTACAAGGTATCCCACTCTTGGATTGTGACTTGGCCCACCCGGCTCTGCCACGGACAATTGTGCAACCCGCAACAATCTCCCCCTCAACAATTGCCCACCAGGAATCGAACTCGTGACCTTGGCTCCGATACCAATTGTTAGGATCGAGCGCTTACCACTAGGCCAAAAGCTATAGCCATTAGTCGAGCGCAACTCTTTTTACTTTAACAGCCCAAGCACCACGATTCAATTGTGACTCGGCCCACCTGACCTTCGTCACAGGACAATTGATGCTACCTGCAACAATCTCCCCTCAGCGAATTGTCCTACAAGGTATCCCACTCTTGGATTGTGACTTGGCCCACCCGACCTCTGCCACGGGACAATTGTGCAACCCGCAACATATAGATCTCGGTATGTCCCGTCAAAGGACAGGTTGATGGGTTGGTCCGTCATATTTCATATTTTATTTTATTATTTTTAAATCAAATATTTAATAAATTTAATAATAAAATTATCATTGTCAACAATTCAATATATACATGTATATATATTTTAAGTTAATAATATAAATTGATATATTATTTTAATAAATTATATTTTAAAACAATTAAATTAAGATAAA